TTTATCCGGGCCGAATATATCTCAAGCCGGCGAATTCTGCCCACGTCTCGAACTTTCGCTCGGGCTTTCGCTCGGGCGCGAAAGTGTACGTCGCGGATGAAAGAAGAGTGAGGCGCTCCCTTCCGTCGACGTTCCGGTGTCGCAAGGTGGCTTGCCGGCGGCAAGCGAATATTTGACGTTTCGCAGGATTTAATCAATTATCGATCGCGACATGACGCGACGCGACGCGACGCGACGCGACGCGACGCGATACGCGAGCCAGCCAATCCCGCCGAATCTAAGCGTTCGTTTTTATGCTTTTGCCCGTCGCCCGATATGAAAGCTTCTCTTCGTGGCACTACCGAAATTATGTTTGCACACACTTCACCTTCGTGCCGTGACCTATCGACCGGATCGCCGCGCCGCGCCGCGCCGCGTCGTTCCTCCCGGCTCGGTCGAGTGGCTTGACCGAGCTGGCAGCCCCTTACGACCCCCGTCTGGAGGGTAAAAACGACATGAACACGCACTTGTGCCGCAACCCGTTCCGGACTCTTTCGACCCTTTCACAGCTCGGATCTAATTTTTCCGATTTTTGAGAGCAGCGACGACGAGAGCAGAGTGCACAGGCAGCCGGATTGAACATAATTTTTTTTTGGCCTCTTGATATCACTCGTCTCTTCATACCTGACCTGATTCCAGTTTCTTTTTCCATCTGGAATTTTTCCTTTCTCTTTTTTTCCGGTTGACGTAGTTTTTTCCTTTCCATCACGTAACAGCATATCGCATTTTATTACGCTGTACTTTATGCATTACCGGCACCGTGCATTATACTTTGTAATATATTTTAATATACTATACTGTAATTTTATTATACGTATTATTATTGCGGTGCGCATCAAAATTTTATTTACATACAGCCGCACAATGGATTTCTCGTTTAACTCTCGCGTAACTTGAAACTTTGTTTAATTAACCTTTGCATGATACATATTGTTTTATTTCACTATTTATCTACGTGCCATAACGCTAGATGGATATAAAGTAAATTTCAAACTAAAACTTCTAGGCTGTTCTGATTGAATTCTAATGAAGCCTAATGAATTGATTTTAATCAATTTACGTGATTTATTCTTAACGATGTTGAAATTCTTTCGTATGTATACAAAAAGTATTTGACAATCTGATTAAGTCGTTTAAAAGTTAATTATTGGATGAAGTTGAATTAATCAATTATTGTTCTCTCGTTGGAAATTAATGTGCTGACAGGAATAGAATATTAATAATTTTCGGAATGTCGGTCAGTCAATTATCCATGCGTGCCTGATGCTAATATTATCGTGTAATTATTGTAACAAAATAGTGCGATCGCGGTCGATAAGATAGCATCATGCGAATTTAACGGTGTGTCACTATAGACGAGGATACATTAAGTTAATTAAAATTCTAACGCAATTAAAACAGGTGTACAACCTTGTATGCCTGTTAAGGGAAACAGCTTTGTCAGCAATGATGTTACCAGCGACGTTGTACACGACGGTACAAAGTCATACTACAACATGGACAAGTCTTGTCAACGGGGTCTTATCGTACAGGATGATCTTCGATCCGTTGCGTTGTCCCAAAGCCGAGAGCTTTCCGATCGCTTTAACTATCCTGTTTAACGCTCGAGAAGACTGCACGTCGCATTAACTCGCGATTTTTCCCTCCAAATTTCGGCTCGTTAATCAAGATCGACTCGTGGAAACCACATTGTCAGAAATCGCAGACTTTTTTACTATATTGATTACGTGGGTACTGAAAAATCAAACTAAAAAAGGGAAATATTTTAATTAAGCAAAAAAAAAAAAAAATTACAAATGGACGTGAAGCATTAATAGCTCGAAGGAAATAATATATTTGTCCGTAGAGGTTTTTTTATTAAGTTTTAATATCGTCGTGAGAAAAATTAAGATCGTCATATCGATCGACGTTAAAAATACAACGTCGCTTTAATTACCTTTAGCAGCTTTGTGTTCTCAAGATTATTACACTGCCACTTTTGTTACGATCGTATCCTTCCTTTCTAGGACATTAAGCTCCTCGCGTTCCTTCCATCCCGGTAGGCTAGCCACGGAATGCTCCGCTGGCTGTCCTCGTTCTCTCGTCGCAGTCGCTTCCACTTAACTAAAAAGCCTTTTAACGAGGCCGACTCCGCGAAAAATGTGCCGCGAGGATGCAACGCAACCGATCGATATCTCCTCACGAGGAATCGAAGCGCCGCTTTTCGCTCCGGGAATGAGAATTTCTCGACGCTTGATGAAGTACGGAAAGTGCACGCGTCTCTCTCTCTCTCTCTCTCTCTCTCTCTCTCTCTCT